GGGTGGGATCATCGCGGGGGTGGGGGGGGGTGGGGAGGGTGCCCACCCAGACCAGACCCCAGCAAGTCGAACAGAAGTTTTGGGCAACCTGGGGACCTGCAGCACAAGTGCTGTGTGAAGCAGGCTGGACGGTCTTGTAGGAGTGAGACCCTGACCTATGCGACGTGACGCCCTCTCCACGTAGGTGGAGTGAAATTGCAGGCCACCCGCCTACGGTCGGCTCGGGTGGAGGAACCCACGCGTGGCGTCAGTGTTGTGAGCGAGCGTGTGGCAGAACACAGGACGAAACAGGTGTTCTTGCCACATCAGGCGGCCGCTGAACTGTCGCGAAAACCGACAAGGTCACCACCTGAGATTTACGCTCTAGGTGGCTGTGAAGGGTCTTGGCAAAGCACAGGGTTCACGTCTACCGCCTTGCAGGCCCTGCAGCCGGGGCCTGAGGGAGCTGTGTGCACAAGTCCCCAGCAGCCTTGTCTGTGCAGGAGCGCCCTCTGCAGTTTACTCCTGAAAGCGTCAACCCAGAAGGAGCCCAGAGGCCTACTGACAGGAAAAGGGTGAGCCTGGCGAATTCACGCAAATTCAATCCTGCGAACTGAAACCGACGGGTAAGGGCCTCGAACGCCCCGAGCGAGCGGCGTTCGCCGACACTTCCCTGAGGTCCACACCCTCCACTGAGGACGGGGAGGCAGGGACAGGGACGGTGCGGAGGGCGTCCCGGGTTCCAACCCTGGCTTCTCGGGGCTGCACTGTCACCTGGGCTCTGGGCTGGGGCCTCCTCCCTGGCACCACGGGGACCGCCAGCCCGGGAGGCGCAGTGTGGGCATTCCGGGGACAGCCCTGTCCCCTCCCCGAGCCCTTCCTTTCGGAGCAAGGCTCTGAGGGTCAGCCCAGAAATCTCTGTTTTGACGGCCCAGAGTGCCCTGATAAGAAAAGATTCTGGAAGAAGCTTGCCCGATGGAGCAGGGGAGGGGTGGCTGTGGCCAGGCCCCACCCCCTGTGGATCGGGACTTTCTTCTGGGAGGAAACGCTGGGCCCGGAAGGCTTCTCCAGGCTGGCCGGCAAGGCGACCCTGGAAACAGTGCTTGTTGTGTGTGACAGGCCGGTGGGGACCCTGAGGCCCGGCCTGACTGACAGGGGCCCTGACACTTCTCCCACCCAGCCCTGAGGGGCTCTGAGTGCGGCTCCAGACGCTGGGGGAGCTTCTCCGCCTGCTCCCTGTAACGGGGCCGCAGAGACGCCGTATTGACCAGTCCATGGGCCGGTCCTGCCTCGGCGAGGAGAAGAGCGTCCCCTGGGGTCCTAATCCGACGGGTGCACTGCCCACGGGCTTGTAGGCACTGCCTCAGGAGTCTCCCCACCCCAGGGCCCTCTGCACCCTCTGGGCAGCAGTGGGGAGGGTGGCCGGGTGCAGGGGACACGCCTTACCTTGCTGGTCCATGTAGATGGGGGTCCCGCACAGGGATGCCACCGAGTCCACCAGGAGCAGGCAGTTGTACCTGGGGGCACAGGGCAGGACAGTGAGGCAGGAGAGGCTTCCTGGAGGGGCCGTGAAAGCCCGCACGGAAGCGTGGAGGAATTTTGGCCTCCCCCAGGGCGCCTCCTCCTGGAGGTTGAGACCTGCTGTCCAACGGGCGTTGACACCCGCCCCTCGGCCCGCCCTGGTTCCCACACACAGCCAGTCCTGGGGCCCGCCCCGCCCCGGGGCGGCGTGTGGTCCTGGGGGCGGCCGGGGCTCTGCGCACTCAGGCCCACAGGCCCGCGTGGGGCCCAGGGCTCAGGGACTGGTCCCTCTGGTAACAGCACGCTGGCCGTGTATCCAGAGCCCAGAGGGGACAGAGTCCAGAAACAGCTGAGCTGGAAACTTTGACTCTCTTCCACCTCCACACTTTCTTAGGAAACGAGAGAGGCATGGGGCCGCCTGGCTGGCCCAGGCAGTAGATGTGTGGCTCTTAATCTCAGGGTCATGAGTTTGAGTCCCACGCTGGGCACGGAGGGGACACGCGGATGTCCTGAGGGTCCCAGCGCAGGCTTGGTTTACTGGACAAGACCCCGGGGGACGGGCTGTCCTGGCAGGGTGAGCCTAACTGGCTGCGGAGAGCTCCCTCCTCCCATCCTGCGGTCAGCTCTCCAGAGCTGAATCCCACTCGACCACACCCGAGGTCTGGCCAGCCCCTTGCCGCGGTGGGGAGGCTGGAGGAGGTTAGTGGAGGTGGGAGCACCTGGTCCTGCCCTCAGCTGGGTGGAGCCCACCCAGACGCGGTGCGGAGCGAGGAGGACCCCGGGACCGACTGCATCTCACTGTGCGTGACGGAGATGGGGGGAGCCGGGTCTCCCCTGCTGCCCCCTGGCCCGGAGGGGCCTGCCCGCACCCCCACGCCCAGGCGGACTCTGAGATGTGCTCGACTCCGCCCCCCGGCACCGCCCCCTGGGCCAGGCTCACCTGTGGCAGAGCTCCCCACAGCCGTCGAGGGGCTGCAGGACGCCACTGGAGGACTCCCCCTGGGTCAGGAACAGCAGCACCGGCTTGTGCTGGGCCAGGGCCTGAGTGGGACGGATGTGCCAGCTGTGGGCACAGCCAGAGGGGGTGGGCGCCTCCCCGTGGGCCCCCCAGCCCCTCCCAGAAGGACTTTCCCTGGCGAGGGCAGGGCAGGATCTGCCCCCCTAACACTCCTTTCCTCCCCGTGGATGGGACAGATCTGGGCGGCGGAAACCGGATGGGCCTCATGTGCTGAGCCCGCGTGTGGGCTCTGGGAGGTGGGCTGGTTCTGGGAGGAGAAGGACTTTCCCCCCCGAGACAGAGCCGGAATGGGCCCAGCCTCCTCCTGCCTTGTCCTGTTGGGGCCCGGTGAGGTCAGCTGAGTCCCCAGGGTCTTGGCTGGTTGGGACGGACCTTTCCCGACGGGGAGGGCTGGCATCCTGAGTGTCAGGGCGTCCTGCTCCCACCTCCTGCCTTCAGCCCCTCTCGCCCAGCCCACAGAACCGGGCTCCTGACTCAGTTTCCCTGCCAGGCAGCCTCCCTATCAGGCTTCCCACCAGCCCCTAAGTACTGGAACGATCCTCCTGTGCACGGTCACCTGCTCCGGGGAGAGCTGAGGGTCAGCCCCAGTCTCCCAGCCCGAGCCCCCTCGGCCAGCCGGCCTCCTCCCCTCCCTAGGGCCAATGTGCCCCACCCTACCTCTTCCAACTCTTGCAGAGTGTAGTGGTTTCCAGGGTCCTTGATCATTGGGTGCACTCGGGCTCCTGGGGGCGGGGGCAGCGTGAGAGGTAAGCACCCTCCACCCCAGTGTGGAGACCGGGGGTCTGTGCTGACCGCCTCGGCCTGCGGCCGCAGGGAAGAGGAAGTGGGGTGTGCTCAGGGAGCTGAGGCTCCAGGGGTGCGCGGGATGAGAGCCACCAGGCTCAGCTCCTTTGCCCCCGCCTCGGGCTAACCTCCCCGAGCCCAGCCGGGCTCCTCCCTCGGCCAGTAGACAAGCATTTGTACAAGGCCTGGTGGGTGGGCCGCGCCTCAGCAGCGTGCGGTGATGGACCGACGGAGCAATGGACGGACGAGTGAGGCTCTGGGAGGCAGGCCTTCGTCCCGCTCTCCCTCTCGGGCCCCTGCGCCCCCCTGCACAGCGGCTCCAGAGTCGGTGTAGAAGGAAGGAGGCCGTGGGACCACCGAGCTTCAGGGGGGAGCCCAAGGCGGGGGTGCGGGTGGGGGCCAAGAAGGGTCTCGCCCGGGGTGCGCAGGGGTCAGGCAGGGCCTCTGGAACGGGGGAGCCCGTGAGGTCCGCTAGGCGCCCTGGCCTCTGCCCGACGCCGCCTCCCCTTGAAAACCGGCGTGTGAACCGAAGGGGACGGGTGAGGGGTGGGGGGCTGTCCATTAACCAGGACCGAGTGCGGCCATGTGTGGAGCTGACCGTGCAGGATGTTTCCAAAGGCCACGATCAATCATTAAACCCGCTGCACACTCCTGCTCTTGATTTCAGTCCCTCCTCAGAAAGTTTTACTCTGGAAGTGAACACCTCGTCGGTGCCTCTGTTTACTCGGCCGCTCCTGAGAGGCGGCTGTTCCTGAGACCCTGGGAGGGGGTGTCAGCCTCCAGAACCCTGTCCTGTCACAGAGCAGAGGTGAAGCCCGGGGACCCTGGGGAGCTGCGGGGGCTGTCTCGGGTTTGTGCGGAAACCTGAGGTTTGCCCACATGCTCTGGAAACAGCTGTCCTCAAGCTCTGGGCGACTGGGAGACGGGCGTCTCTCCAGCACCCCAGCGCCCGCTTGGAGGAGGCAGCAGCGGGCCTGGAGGGGGTGGGTGCGTGAAGGGGACGGGCACTTACCCGCGGAGGGGCCACGGTTGGCGCCTGGGGCGTGTGGGGTGGGTCTGCCGGGCGGGAGGCAGGTGGGAGGCCTTGGGGAAGGATGGCTCGAGGGCCACACCCCACCCTCTGCCCCGTCTCTTACCGATGCGCTCCCCGATGTCCGCAGCCCGCTGCCCCCAGATGCCGTTGACCCCGACCAGGAAGGGGTCCCCTGGCTCCAAGATGTTGAACAGGGCGGCCTCCAGGGCGCAGTGCCCCGAGCCACTGATGGCCAGGGTGAGGGGGTTCTTGGTCTGGAACACGTACTGGATGCCTTGCTTGATATCATCCATTATCTGGGGGCCGTGGGCACGCAGGTCAGACCCTACGCCTCTGCCCTCTCCCCCCTGAGGAGGACGCTCAGGGCACCCACTGCCACCACCTACGTGGCCTACCTGGAACATCTCTTTGTGCATGTGGCCAATCATCTGCTTCCCCCCGGCCACCAGGACACGCGGAGCCAGGTTAGAAGGGCCCGGCCCCAGCAGCAGCCGGTTAGGGATGGACAGGGGCCTGAGCAGGGCCTCCGGAGGGGCCACCAGCAGCTGGCGGGTGGCCATGGTCCGTGCCCAACCGGCCACCTGGGGCCCCAGGGTCGCACTGGCCCTGGCCAGCGCTCGGAACATTTCCCAGCTGGCCTCGAGCTGGTGTCTGGAGGCCGGTCGATGGGCTCCCCCGCTGCACCCTCTCTGCCTTTCGTTGTTTGTCGCTGTTACCTGACCCCTTATCGACACTTCTCCTGCATGTCAGGGCCTGACAGCCAGGGTGTTGAACCCTCGGTTGGGGGAGGTTCCTTCAGAGTCCGGTCAATGAAAAACAGAGTTTGGCAAGCTGCCCTCTGCCCTCCGGCCCCTCCCAGCTCCTCAGCGGTCGGATGCCCGGCCCCAGCCAAGTGCATCCTGCTGGGCTCAGGGGTCCCCCGAGTTTTTCTTACAGGACCAGAGAGCGGATATTTCAGACTTGGCAGGCCTTCTAGGCTGTGTTGCGGCCACTCAATCCTGCTGTGGCCGTGCAAAAGTGGCTAGAGTGGTGTTGCTGTGTGCCAATAAAACTTTATTTACAAATACGAATCGTGGGCCAGATTTGGCCCAGGGACCACAGTTTGCTGACCTAAGGGAGAGGCCTAATTTGGAAAATATATATGCCCCGTCTGTATAGACACACACTCTCTCTCTCTCTCTCTCTCACACATGCACACGCACATATACCCACCGAGGGCACAGGCATTCCTGATCCTTTTGGAAATAAGGGTCTCCTCGGCCTCTCCACTCCCGACGGCCCTGACGTTTGGTGTTCACTCACGTACCCAAGGGCACATCTGTCTGGGAGTCCTCCGCTCGCTAAGTCGACAGGTGGTTAGAATAAATGCAACGCTCGACTACTTGCAGGAAAGGAAGCCAGGCCAGCCGGGCCAGAGGCACCCGTGCAGTGGAGCCCCAGGTGCCCTGGGAAGCCGGGAAAGGCCGGAGCCCGAGCTGGTGCTCCCTGAGCAGCACCCATGCCTCGCAGAGTTCTTGACGGGGCCTGGTGGGAGCACTTGGATTCCTGCCGTGTTTAGGGCTCTGACGCCGTGGGCCTCGGTCGCCGGGGACGGGGAAGCATCGGGGCTTCCGCAGGAGACTTCACGGCGACCGAGGAGGCGGCACCCTCCCCCTGGGGCCGGGCACGCGACCTCCCCGTGCCGGCTCGATCCCCCGCCCAGCAAAGTCCCTTCCTTCAGCTCTCGTGGATGGGTCTGGGTTTGTCTGGCATCCTGGGAGCCCCGGGGACCCAGAGAGCCCGAGCCAGGCTGGGCCTGAGCACCCGGGAACCTCCACAGCCTTCGGAAGCGGTGGTGGTCTGTCCATCCGACGGGCGAGGAAGCAGGCGCAGGAGCAGGCTCCACGCCCTGGGCAGAGAGCAGCCCGGGCGGCCCCAGGGAAGGTGCGGTCCCAGCCGGCCCGGGGCATGCCCGCCATGACAGTTGGCCGGGACTTCTCCAGCTCAGTGGGCCCTCCCTTCCCCCCACTCCCC